CTCCCATGTAGGTGACCGCAGTTCGCTTCCTGGACCCGGTGGCTTAAACTCAGGCCAGGTGCGTGTGCGTGCGTGCCCAAGGTCCCGAGAGGAGAAAGGAGGAGAAGGGATTGTGGCGTGGCCATCCCCCCTGGGGGGTGATTTCTCACTTTCTGTCTCTCTCTGTCTGTCTGGCGAGCGCACGCGCCCTATAGCAAAGGCCTCTCAAAAAACAAAACAAAACAAAACTAGAAACACCCTAGATGTCCATGAACAGGTGAATGAAGGAAACAATGTATATCCATACAATAGAATATAATTCAGCCATGAAAAGGAACAGAATACAATTAAATTACATTAATCTGAAGATCAGTATGCTGAATGAAAGCCAGATACTACTTGGAGGGTCAGTCAGGTGGGTGCATGTGAGAAATGTGATGGTTTGGGGCCAGCAGGTGGCATGGTGGTTAAAGGTGCTGGATCTGCAGTTTGGGTTCTGGACCTGGCGGCTTGCTTTCTCACTCTCTCTCTCTCTCTCTTCCCCTCTCTGGTCAAATTGAAATAAGAAAATAAATAAATAAATAAATAAATAAATAAATAAAGTTAAATGAAATAATTCTTTTAAAAAAAAGAAATGTGATGGCTTAAACTTTAAATCAGCTATCAGGTGTCAAGTTTGCTTTTTCTTTTTTTTTAATAAATAAATTTACATTTATTCACTGAGCATTGTCACAGCATACAAAATGTAATTTCCCATCCAGAAGATGCTGCGTAGTAGCTTAATCATACATGTTTTTGTCAATAATTTTCCATTTCTAGTTTCATATATATTATATATTTCCCCCCCCCCATTTCTCACCCTCTGCCATTTCCCACACTCCTCCCACACTATCCCAGGTGTCCACAGTTGTTTTCCATTCCTTTTTTCCCTCACATTTTATGGATTCACAAAATTTCGTAAATAATGTAACTACTTTCAATAGCAAGCTCTGCTGATATATACATATCTGTGAATATAGATGTGTATGACTTAAGGTATGAATCTCTGAGTAGAATGAATACACTATAAGGTAGCACCTAGCTGATGCTATATAGTTTATTATGGTCATTAATTATGCATTTTTTACTATATTTTTCAATTTCAAGAAAATTAGAGTTAAATTTCAGATTTAACTTTAATAAATCAAAGAAATGCTAAGGAAATATGCTTAAAACTTAAAGCTAGGAAACAGGTTGGGATCTGTTCAAATAGTAGGTACATGAACCTATCAGCAGCTCAAGACAAGACAAAAATCCTTTAAATTGGAAAACAAAGTCTAGAATAAATCAACAATGTTTTAGTCAAAAGTCATAAAATTCTATTTCACCAGTTCAGTCTCATGTACTTTATCTTTTGTTATGAGTCAGTTTTTTCAATTAAATTCTGAGATATAATATTCAATTCCAGACTTGTCCCCATAATTAAGTTTGCCATTTTCTTAGTTTTTAGCCTTTTTTTGGGGGAGGGGGTGTTTTGCTATAGGGTGTGTGGGCTCGCCAGAAAGACAGAGAGAGAGAGAGACAGAAAGCGAGAAATCACCCCCAGGGGGGATGGCCATGCTGCAATCTCTTGTCCTCCATTCTCCTCTCGGGATCTTGGGCATGCACGCACACACGCCCGGTGTGAATTTAAGCCAGAATATTCTTGTCTTTTCTTCCCATATGAAGGATAATCTTGCCAGGTATAGTATCCGTGGTTGCAATTGCTTTTCCTTTAACACTTTGAATTTATTTTCCCATTCTTTCCTCACTCGCGTTGTTTCCGATGAGAGATCCGCTGTCAGCCTGATGGGATATCCTTTGTAGGTAACTTGCTGTTTCTCTCTTGCCAATCTTAGTATCTTGTCTTTGTCTGTGGTTTTGGTCAATCTGGCTATAATGTGTCTTGGAGAAGATCTTCTTGGGTTGATTCTATTTGGGGTCCTTTGTGTTTCTTGAGACTGGATCTTTGAATGCTTCTCTAGGTTTGGAAAGTTTTCTTCTAGGATTTCATGGAATAGATTATCAATGCCCTTATGGGTCTCTTCCCCTTCTGGGATACCAATTATCTGGATGTTTGGATGTTTGATGGTATCTAGTATTTCTCATATAGTATTCTCATGTTTTTGGACAATTTTCTCAGTCTTCGTGGTGGATTTTTCTAGGCCAGTAATTCTATCTTCTACAAGTGAGACTCGATTTTCAGTGTGATCTAGTCTGCTTTGAATATTTTCAAGGGAGGTTTTGACTTCCGGTATTATCGTCTTCATCTCTAACAGGTCCTTTGATTCTTTTTTAAAGTGTGTAATTCCTCTTTTAGATCTTGCAAGAATTTCCTTACGTGCTGGAACTTATCAGCTTCTTTCTCCTGCCTCTTTGGCAATTCATTGTCTCTCTTTTCTTCTATCTCTGTGAGCTTTGTCACCATGAAAATTCTAAATTTTTTACCAGGTATTTCCATGAATTTCATCATACTGTCTGAGGGTGAAGAGGACTTATTTTTCCTTGGAGGGGAGGTCTTTTCTCGTTTTTCCACATTTCTTGTGTCCCTGTGGTGATTTCTAGTCATCTGATGGATGGTGCGTGTCTTCTAATTCTTGAAGTTCAGTCTGAGTGTTCAGAGGCGTGCAGGGGAAGGTGATCTGCAATCTCTCTTCCGTTCCATTCTCACTTTTTGTGCATCAGAATCAGGGAATAGAGGAATATTCTGACCCTAACTGTATTCAGACGTATAGATTCTATTCACTTGGACCTGTCTAGACTCTTAATGAGCAGAGGCTGAGAAGCAAATGAGTAAAGATTAAAAAAAAAAAAAAGAATTAAATAAAAGGAAAGAAGAAAGCATAAAATAATAAGAAAAAAAGGGTAATAAAAACTAGATTTTAATATTAAAATGCAAATATTGAAAACCACGTGGCATGCAAGCATGCTGTGCAAAAGCACTACTTCACAGCTGAAGTTCAGGATTCATGTAGAGGTGGGCCCGGTTTCTGTCTTTCTAGAAATAAGTAAGGAAGAAGTCTCAGCAGAAAATTTTCATTTTAAGTCTCTGAAAGCACTAGTACATAGCTGAAGTTCAGGATCCATCAGGTGTCAAGTTTTCTAGTGCTAAGTATATACAATATATACAGCCAAGCTGATATATGATCAACTTATAGAAAATTCTAGAAAATGCAAACAGCTTTGCATTGATAAGGTCAGCTTGTTGGGTGCCTTGGTCCAGGTGTTGAGGAAAGAGGGATCATGGGGTGCTAGGCATCTTCTGCATGGATGAGTTGCCCTGACTTGGTTGTGGCTTTGCAGGTGTGTAGTTTGTCAGAACACACGAAGTTGCATACTTCAAATGGATGTGGTTTATTTTATGTAAGTTATACCTTAATAAAGTAGGCTGAATAGCAGGCAAAAACATTAATTGAAATATTAGACTTTTTGGGCTGACAGGTGGTGTGATGGTTAAGGTGCTAGACTTCTACATGGCTAACCATGGTTTGAGTCCTGAACCTGGCAGCCTGCTTCTCATTCTCTGTCTGTCTCTGGTCAGATTTAATAATAATTATAAGAACAATAAATGAATTAAATCACTCTGAAAAAAAAAAAAAGAAATATTAGATATTTTAAAATTTTTTGCTGGGGCCAGCAGATGTTGTGGTGGTTAGGGGCACTGGACTCCCACATGGCCGACTGAAGTTTGAGTCCTAGACCTGGCAGCTTACTTTCTCACTTTCTCTCTCACTCTCTGTCCCTTTCTGGTCAAATTAAAATAAATAAATAAAGTTAAAATAAAAATAATTCTTTAATTAAATTATTATTGTTATTATTTTGTTGTTGTTGTTAAAGGGCACATATGCTTACTAGAGAGAAAGGAAGTGAGAAAGCACCTGCATAGGAACTGGTCATGACACAATCCCTTCTCCTCCATTGGAATTTTGGGTATATACACACACCTGTCCAGCATATTTTTCAAGCCACCAAGATTGAGACTTGAGCTGCACAGTCTGCTATGCAGAATCCAGCCTCCTTAACCACTACGCCACCAGCTGACCCATAATATTAAGCTTTTATTTATTATTTTTGAGAGATCTTTGCTATAGGGTACATGCGCTCACCAGACAGAGACAGAGAGACAGAAAGTGAGAAATCACCCCCCAAAAGGTGATGGCCATGCCTCAGTCCCTTCTCCATTCTCTCGGGACATTGGACACGTACACATATGTAGCCAGTGTGAGTTTCAAGCTGCTGGGTCCAGGGCTCAAACCATGGTTGACCTGTGGGAGTCCAGAGCCTTAACCACTAGACCACCTGTTGGTCCCCAAATTGAACTTTTGATTCCTGAATTGAAATGATGCTTTATAACTTAGCATGACACTGGGGTGCCTCTTACCAGAGGGTGAACAGCAGGGTCTGTCATATCTGGAGTTTACACGGGGTACGGAAAGATAGCGTCTGTTGAACAAGTGGTAAATGGACCAAAAGAAGAGATTTGATTGCACCCTATAGGTAAGGAGTGGGGTGTGTCTGTCCTAGGAGTATGTTGCTGTCTATTTCACATGAGGGTCCGCAATGTGGCATGTGTGCCCAAAGTCCTGAGAGGAGAATGGAGGAGAAGGGATTGTGATGTGACCATCCCTCCTGGGAGGTAATTTCTCAGTTTGTCTCTCTCTCTCTCCCTCTTTGTCTTTCTCCTGCAGGCGCATGTGCCCTACGACAACAAAAAAGAATTTCCATCACAGAAAGGAAGAGGTAATCAGGGGAAAACAGGTGATTTTAATCAGGTAAAATTCTGGGAGCAAGAGGACTGATTTTTTTTAAGCATTTCTTTTTTTTTGGAGAGGTTTTTTTTGTTGTTGTTTGTTTGTTTGTTTGTTTGTTTGTTTGGCTATAGGGCATGTGTGCTCGCCAGACAGAGAGAGACAGAGAGACAGAAATCGAGAAATCACCCCCCAGGGGGGATGGCCATGCCACAATCCCTTCTCCTTTATTCTTCTCTCAGGATCTTGGGAACGCATGCACATGCGCCCGGCATGAGTTTTAAACCACCGGGTCCGGGTTGTGAGCTGCGGTCAACTACATGGGAGTCCAGCGACATAGCCATTATGCTAACTGCTGGTCTCCGCAAGAGGACTGATTCTCCTGCAGGCCTCAGCACCGTCCTCCACCCATGCAGTGTGGTCCTTTTGCTGACAGCCCTGGACTGAATCTAGCATGAAGTGAATTGCAGAACAGCCCCCACTCCTCCTTGCAGAAGGGACTAGAGCCATGTTCACTCTGAGGCTGCTCAGCCCTCATGAGCACACACAGCCCACAAGGTCTTCTTCCACAGGACCTGCAAGGCGAGAGCGGGCCCACCAGTCAGGGCCAGAGAGCAGATTCTCATCCCTGAGCTCCAAACTAAAACACCCTCTCTGCGTTCTTTCTGAGGACCTGCCTGGAAACAAAGTGGGGCTGCTGCTGTTGAGCTTCCGACTTGGGGAGTCAGAGACCTTCCCTGCCTGCATGCTGGTGCCACTCCACAGCTGTTTTTGGCAAGTCGGAGTCTCTTCAGAGGTAACTTTTATATGTCAGAAAATGTATCAGTCATGTCTGGGACACTGTGATTATGAATTCCACCTCGCAGGTTAACGGAAGTCTGTTAAAAGTCTTACAAATACTACTTGGAGGGTCAGTCAGGTGGGTGCGTGTGAGAAATGTGATGGCTTAAGCTCTAAATCAGCATCAGGTGTCAAGTTTTCTAGTGCTAAGAAATCTACTTACAGTTTGGTGCTGTTTTGTCTGTTTGCTATCTGTGTCCACCGTCCTTGTTACCAGAAGGCTTTGAGCTCCGGCATTCTTCTGTACCATGATTTTGAATACTTATTTTATCACCTGAAGTCACTGTCTTTCATGTTCCCTCCATGATGAAAACTAAGGCTGAGGGTCCCCAGCAGACCTTTGTCTGCCCTAGAGGCACCCTCGCTGCCAAGCAGGAACCCATCTGGTTGCAAATGCTCAGGATGTGAATTAGAGTTTCACTAGGACAGAGAGTGTCTACACCTCTTGAGGTAATAGAGTGATAAATGGCCTCTGCTTCTCAGATCCGAGCTGAGCCAAAGCATACTGTGCCCATCTGAACTGCCCTGCTGCTCAGTCAGACAGCCCAAAAGTATTGGATTGAGGAGTGAGTCCTCCAGAGTCCAGGTGGTCTGGGACCAGTAGGTGGCATAATGGCTATGTCACTGGACTCCCATGTAGTTGACTGTGGTTTGAGTCCCAGACCTGGTGGCTTAAACTCACGCTGGTGCGTGTGCGTGCATGCCCAAGATCTTGAGAGGAGAATGGAGGAGAAGGGACTGTGGCGGCCATCCCCCCTGGGAGGTGATTTCTCACTTTCTGTCTCCTTGTCTCTCTCTGTCTTTCTGGCAAGCGCATGTGCCCTATAGCAAAAACTTCTCCCCCCCAAAAAATAAAAATAAAAAAGAGTCCAGGTGATCTGAGTTCAGTCTTTCTGGTCCTCAGATATGTGTGCTTCTTACTGGGAAGTCCAGTTGGACTCTGGGTGCCCCAGGCCACAGCCCCTTCCTGGTTTGTCCTCACAGTGACCAGCAGCAGGGCCTCACCACCACCTTGATTTGCAGGCCTGGACTCCAGGTCTGCAGGGCTCAGCATCAGGCCCATGAGCTCCTGGCTGCTTAGCACCCTCGGCCACACTGAGCACTGACCTCCCTGGACGGGCAAGGATCTGATGTCTAAAGCTCTCATCCTGGAGGGGCAGGTAAGGGTCCTGCCTTGGCCCCCACCATTGCCCTGGAAGGCAGGTCTGCATCTGCACAATGTGCTCCACTCTGTTGCAGCCCACCCTCTTCCCTGTTGCAGCTGTGCCTTCCTCTGTTCCCTGTTGTGGCCCCTCCTCCCCATTGCAGGCCCCTCTATCCTCTCTATTCCAGGCCCTGTGCTCCTCTTGCTCCCAGGCATGGCCCTGCAATGCCTTGCCCTCCTGGCCGGCCTTCTGGTGGGAGTTGCCAGCAAGTCCACAGAAAGTGTGGTAGGTACCCCTGTCGCGGGTCTATACTGCTGATACCAGAAATCAGATCTGAGCCTCCAGGGAGGGCAGAGGACTCTTTCCTGGAGGGATCTAAATCTTTAACCTTTAGGGTTCACTGGTGCCCCAGATTTAAAGGTACTAACTGGGTCCACTCTCAGAGTCAGAGGGACCTGTGTCATGCAGAAGGCAGCAAAGACTTGGCACTTGTTCTGGGCTGCCCTCTGGAAGTTCCTCTCTTTGCCAAACTAGACTCGTTTAGCTGTGATAAACACACAAGCTGAGGTTAAACTCTCTCCCCTGAGACCTGTTTACCCTGGCCTGTGGTTGGGGAACAGGCCTTTGTACACACTGTAAATGCACCGCACACGGACATGGCGGGGGAGTTCATCCCCTAGAAATGATGACCTGTCCAGGCTCTTCCTCTGTGAAGCCAAGATGGAAACCCCCCATTGAGGGGCGTCTATAGAATTGCAGAGAATGTCAGTGAAACCAGCGTGACCTGTGGCTGGATATATTGGTGGGTGCCAAGGCCTTCAGTTGGGGGCATAGGACAGACTTTTGGTGCCTACTGGGCAGACTCCCAGCCCCTCACCAGGAAATAGGCTGCCCAATGCAGCCTACTTTATATTTCACTGTAGTCTAGAATAGTGGCTTGGGACCAGCAGTTAGCGTAATGGCTATGTCGCTGGACTCCCATGTAGTCAACCGTGGTTCGAGTCCCGGACCTGGTGGCTTAAAACTCACGCCGGGCGCGTGTGCATGCATGCCCAAGATCCCAGGAGGAGAATGGAGCCAGGGCAGATGGCCATGCTACAATTCCTTCTCCTCCATTCTCCTCTTGGAATATGGGCATATGTGCCTGGTGTGCTTTTTAAGCCACCAGGTCTAGACTCGAACTGTAAATAGGCCATGTGGAATCCAGTCTCCTCAACTACCACGCCATCAGCTGACCCAGTAGATATGTAAATTAGCCTGATTCAGTCATCTCACAATGTATACATTTACCAAAACATGTGGTATACCATAACTATATGTGATTTTTTTTTGGAGAGATTTTCACTGTAGGGCGCGTGCGCTCGCCAGACAGACAGAGAGAGACATAGAGACAGAAAGCGAGAAATCACCCCCCAGGGGGGATGGTCATGCCGCAATCCCTTCTCCTCCATTCTCCTCTCGGGATCTTGGGCACACACGCACACGCGCCCAGCGTGAGTTTTAAGCCACCGGGTCCGGGACGTGAACCGCGGTCAACTACGTGGGAGTCCAGCGACATAGCCATTACGCTAACTGCTGGTTCCCTGTAGTGGGTTTTCTTATCCTGTGAAAGAGTTATTAGAATTGGCACTGCAGTGTAGCGTAGCAACTTTAATTTTTCTGTAGGTGACTAATATACATAATTTCACTGATTAAATGCCCCACTCTGTGCCTGCCTGTGACCATGGGGTGTGAGGCAGCTGCTGGCAATGGCTCTGCCCCAGACCAGGAAGACCCAGATAGAGACAGGGTCTGGGCCTCCACCTTCTCCCAGGTAAGGCCTTGACAGGAAAGGGGAAAGGAGAAGACCCCACAAACCACAGAGAACCTGCCTGGGATGGTCCACAGTGAGGCAGGGACACTTCCTCTGCCCCATGTAGAGGAGGAAAGATTTCTCACCCATGGCTGGGTTCATGGCTGAGCTGCCTATAACAAAAGACAGATTAACAAGAGAAATGTGTATTTAGTATGTTTTATGTGACACAGGAGCCTTCATAAAGAAATGAAGACCCAAACAGGGAAATCCCTGTATTCTTATGTTGAGTTTGATGAGGAAGTGGATATTTGTAAATAAGTATGGTTGGCCAAAGGGTATAACCTAATGGTAACCAACTGGGGAAACATAGCCAGGCCGGTTTGTTCAGATTCTTTTGAGTCCTTGTGCCTTCAGAGATAAGGACGTTCCTTTCTTCTGGTATAGGGTGGGCACCTCTCGAATGAGGGTCTTAGGGCCTACTTCAAGGGAAGGTTATTACATTCTTTTCTAGATTTTATGAGAGGAGAAGGGCAGTAGAAGGTCAGAGGTCTTCCTGCTTCTGCCAAGGTGCCATGTTTTGGGCTAGTGTGTTCTGAACCCCATCACCTACCAGACTGGCCAAGGCCCAGGTCTCTAGGTCAGAATCTCTAGGTGAGCCCAAGAGCTCTAGTTCAAAACAGCTTTGTCAATCCAGAGATTCTCCTTCCTGGCTTTCAGGAGTCCAAGCAGCTGCTGTGGAACATACTGGACAGGTCTTGGCCTGACCCTAGTGGTTTATTCACTCTTAGACATTTACTGGCTACATGTCCTGCATGGCACAGACAGGACCATGCCCTTGAGGGGCTCTCAGGGCCCACAGGGAGTAGTAGGTAGGGAGGTCATCAAGGTGTATGCGGGACAGCCCTGAGGAAGCCCCAACCTCTGCCCGTAGCAGCCCCTTCCACACGGGCTGTAGCAGGGTGTGTACTGTGGCCGTGGTCCTCATCTCGCCCCTGGGCCGGCCTGAGGCTGACTCTGGAAGAAGCCGACCTGCTTGGCCCAGGTGTGGGCTAGAGTCTCACTGGCGTCTCCCCTTCAGGCCCAGCAGCCCGAGTGCTGTGTGGATGTGGTGGATGCCAATGCTACCTGTCCAGGCACAAGCCTGTGTGGCCCAGGTAAGCAGACCCCAGATCGGTGTGTATGTGTGTCCAGGTGGGTATGTGTGTCCACTCTGGCCTCAGCAATAAGGACAATGGCTCACATATGCTGGGGAACTGGAGGGGCTGGGGGCAGGTGGCAAGCAGTGCAGACTGCAGAGGTGGGGTACAGGGCCCTATCTGTCCCTCTTCCTTGGTGGTTGAGGCAGGACCCTGAGAGGGGACTATTGCTCTACAGGGAACAGAAGGCAGCACTCAGAAAGAATGTCACATCTTGGGCTGAGGTAGGAGCCATCCCATGACCTCAGCCATTCTCACAGCTGTCCTACTCGGGACATCTGGCAAGTTTAGAGACACATTTGGTTTCACAGCTTGGAGGTGTTGCTGTCATCTGTGGGTGGAGGCCAGGGATGCAGCCCAACACCTAGTGTGCAAGATGGCCCTACTGTAGAGGACAGCGTGGCCTCAGTGTGAGCATGGCAAGGGCGAAACGCTGCTAACAGAACATTCTAGGAGGCTGCATAGATGGAATTGGTAGCAGCTAGAAATGAGGAAGTAAAAAAGCAGTGGCTGGCAGGTGGTGTATGTGGTGGTTAAGGCACTGGACTCCTACATAGTTCACAATGGTTTGAGTCTTAGACCTAGAGGCTTGCTTTCTTGCTTTCCCTTTCTCTCTCTCTCTGTCTCTCATCAAATTAAAAACTAGTAACAACAAATGGAATTAAATAAATAACTCTTTAAAAAAAAAAATGCGGTGGGATGAACAAATTGCATACGACATAGCCATTACGCTAACTGCTGGTTCCCTGTAGTGGGTTTTCTTATCCTGTGAAAGAGTTATTAGAATTGGCACTGCAGTGTAGCGTAGCAACTTTAATTTTTCTGTAGGTGACTAATATACATAATTTCACTGATTAAATGCCCCACTCTGTGCCTGCCTGTGACCATGGGGTGTGAGGCAGCTGCTGGCAATGGCTCTGCCCCAGACCAGGAAGACCCAGATAGAGACAGGGTCTGGGCCTCCACCTTCTCCCAGGTAAGGCCTTGACAGGAAAGGGGAAAGGAGAAGACCCCACAAACCACAGAGAACCTGCCTGGGATGGTCCACAGTGAGGCAGGGACACTTCCTCTGCCCCATGTAGAGGAGGAAAGATTTCTCACCCATGGCTGGGTTCATGGCTGAGCTGCCTATAACAAAAGACAGATTAACAAGAGAAATGTGTATTTAGTATGTTTTATGTGACACAGGAGCCTTCATAAAGAAATGAAGACCCAAACAGGGAAATCCCTGTATTCTTATGTTGAGTTTGATGAGGAAGTGGATATTTGTAAATAAGTATGGTTGGCCAAAGGGTATAACCTAATGGTAACCAACTGGGGAAACATAGCCAGGCCGGTTTGTTCAGATTCTTTTGAGTCCTTGTGCCTTCAGAGATAAGGACGTTCCTTTCTTCTGGTATAGGGTGGGCACCTCTCGAATGAGGGTCTTAGGGCCTACTTCAAGGGAAGGTTATTACATTCTTTTCTAGATTTTATGAGAGGAGAAGGGCAGTAGAAGGTCAGAGGTCTTCCTGCTTCTGCCAAGGTGCCATGTTTTGGGCTAGTGTGTTCTGAACCCCATCACCTACCAGACTGGCCAAGGCCCAGGTCTCTAGGTCAGAATCTCTAGGTGAGCCCAAGAGCTCTAGTTCAAAACAGCTTTGTCAATCCAGAGATTCTCCTTCCTGGCTTTCAGGAGTCCAAGCAGCTGCTGTGGAACATACTGGACAGGTCTTGGCCTGACCCTAGTGGTTTATTCACTCTTAGACATTTACTGGCTACATGTCCTGCATGGCACAGACAGGACCATGCCCTTGAGGGGCTCTCAGGGCCCACAGGGAGTAGTAGGTAGGGAGGTCATCAAGGTGTATGCGGGACAGCCCTGAGGAAGCCCCAACCTCTGCCCGTAGCAGCCCCTTCCACACGGGCTGTAGCAGGGTGTGTACTGTGGCCGTGGTCCTCATCTCGCCCCTGGGCCGGCCTGAGGCTGACTCTGGAAGAAGCCGACCTGCTTGGCCCAGGTGTGGGCTAGAGTCTCACTGGTGTCTCCCCTTCAGGCCCAGCAGCCCGAGTGCTGTGTGGATGTGGTGGATGCCAATGCTACCTGTCCAGGCACAAGCCTGTGTGGCCCAGGTAAGCAGACCCCAGATCGGTGTGTATGTGTGTCCAGGTGGGTATGTGTGTCCACTCTGGCCTCAGCAATAAGGACAATGGCTCACATATGCTGGGGAACTGGAGGGGCTGGGGGCAGGTGGCAAGCAGTGCAGACTGCAGAGGTGGGGTACAGGGCCCTATCTGTCCCTCTTCCTTGGTGGTTGAGGCAGGACCCTGAGAGGGGACTATTGCTCTACAGGGAACAGAAGGCAGCACTCAGAAAGAATGTCACATCTTGGGCTGAGGTAGGAGCCATCCCATGACCTCAGCCATTCTCACAGCTGTCCTACTCGGGACATCTGGCAAGTTTAGAGACACATTTGGTTTCACAGCTTGGAGGTGTTGCTGTCATCTGTGGGTGGAGGCCAGGGATGCAGCCCAACACCTAGTGTGCAAGATGGCCCTACTGTAGAGGACAGCGTGGCCTCAGTGTGAGCATGGCAAGGGCGAAACGCTGCTAACAGAACATTCTAGGAGGCTGCATAGATGGAATTGGTAGCAGCTAGAAATGAGGAAGTAAAAAAGCAGTGGCTGGCAGGTGGTGTATGTGGTGGTTAAGGCACTGGACTCCTACATAGTTCACAATGGTTTGAGTCTTAGACCTAGAGGCTTGCTTTCTTGCTTTCCCTTTCTCTCTCTCTCTGTCTCTCATCAAATTAAAAACTAGTAACAACAAATGGAATTAAATAAATAACTCTTTAAAAAAAAAAATGCGGTGGGATGAACAAATTGCATAATGGTTACATGGCTGAACTCCCACGTAATCAACCATGGTTCGAGTCCCAGGCCCGGTGGCTTAAAACTCATGCCAGGAGCTTGTATGTGCATGCCTGAAATGCCAAGAGAAGAATGGAGGAGAAGGGATTGCAGCATAGCCTTCCTCACTGGGGGTGGGGGGGTGGGGGGGGTGATTTCTCACTTTCTCTCTCTGGTGAGCACACATGTCCTTTAGCAAAAATCTCTGTTAAAAAAAAAAAGTGGCTGACTTTGGGCTGTGGCTTATCCTTTGGCGATAGGTCCTGACAGCTCCCATAGCCCTCTCTTCTGCAATCCCCACCTTAGCAAGTGTGCCTAAAGCCTGGACTGCATGGGAAGATGTGCTGGGCTCTCTCAGGGAGGTGGCATGTACCCCAGACAGGCCTCTGGGTGCAGCCAGCTACCAGCAGTCACCGTGCCTATGGAGGGACTACAAGAGGAGGGGTCTCATGAGGGTGTGCAGTCTGAGGTGGCTCTGACACAGGTGCAAGGATGGGAGTGACTGAGTTACTGGGTTTGTGTGGAGAGATACAGAGGCCCCACAAAGCCGGCAGGCTCACTGGTCCGGCTCTCTGGCTGTGCTCTGCCCCAGCACGTGGCCAGCAGTCCTGCAGCAGCTCTCAGAGGAGCCCAGTTACCTCTTGGCATGAGCACTTCCGGGGCGGTCGCTGGGCTGGCACCAATTCCTTGGCCTCCAGGAATGGAGACATCTGAGTAGACAGTGCCTGCCTCCCCCAAGGTCTGCCGTTTCTCAAAACTAAGGGGCAGAAAAGGGCAGCCAGCATAGAGGAGAGGCCTGTTTCGTGCTGTTAACGGTCCTACGTCAGAACGGGCAGCCTCGGTCGAAATGAAACTGCACGATCAGCCCCGGGTCTCCCACGGCTGCTGTCTCCTCCCCACAGCATCGCTGGAGCTACCTAGTCACCCAGTCCTGACGTCACTCTCAGCCTCCTGTCCACATGGTGTCAGTGCACTATCTCTCACCACAGAAGGCCTTTGTCTCTGAATGGCTCGTTTGTGTTCAGATGAAATGCCAGTAAAATTCATTACAAAGGGCCCGTGGTGTGGGGTTATCCCCCAAAAGCTGTCCAGTGTCTAGCGTCAGCATCCACCACCTACAATCAATATTTATCGAGCATGTCTGCTTGGCCTCTGGACTAAATGTTGGGAATATTAAAAAATAAATAAATAAATGAGGTGAAGATTTAAGACTCAGTTTCCATCCTAAAGGCACCCTGGTCAGTGGACAAGATGGACCAGCCATCAACTGCTGGCCCACAGGAGCTGGATCATGCCAGTGCCTGGGCAGGCCCTTTGTGGATGCCAGGCTAGGAAGGAGAGGAGCAGTGTCAGTCTGGGATGGGAAGTGGCTTTATACTGCAGGGCTCCTGCATGCCCCCAGGGCAGGGGCAGCAGTGCAGGGGCAGCAGGTGAGTCAAAGGGTCAGCTAGGCAGGAAGCAGCACTGCAAGGATGGGCCTTGATCCTCATGGGGTCCGTGAGGGGTACACAGTGCAGGGAAGCACCCAGACCCTGGAGGGGATGGTCCCTGGAAGGGCTCCACACGCGACCCCTGTTTAGTCTGGATTCCTGTTGCTCACTTCCATGGTCTTGTAGAATGGGCGCCCACAGCAATCTGAGTGTGAGAAGTAGCTATGTCTCTTATTGAATTTCTTTCTTTCTTTCGTTTTGTTTAAAGAATTATTTTGTTTAACTTTATTTATTAATTTGACCAGAGAGCGACAGTATGAAGGAGAGGAAAAGTGAGAAAGCAAGCCGCCAGGTCTGGCACTCCAACCATAGTCAACCACGTGGGAGTCCAGTGCCCTTAACCACCATGCTACCTGCCAGCCCCCAATTTTTTTCTTTTTCTGGAACGGGAGCCATTATTCCATCCACATTTCCAGATCGTGTTAGTTTTCTCAAATGAAAGCTATTTTATACGCTCAAAATATAGAAAATGTCCTGGAAGACAGTGATTTGACGTGGACGCTCCCCTGGCTGAAAAGCACCTGCCCTCTTCCTCCTGCCACAGGATGCTACAGACGTTGGAATGCGGATGGGATGGTCAGCTGTGTCCGATGCAGGAACGGAACCTTCCCAGCCTATAATGGCTCTGAGTGCAGAAGCCGTATGTCTCTGTGCAGTCCTTCCACCCCCAGTGTCTGTTTCCCACAGAGGGTCCGTCTCCAGTTTGGGGGGAAGTGGTGGAAGTCACGGTGCTCAATAGCAGGTGGCTCCGCCTTGCCCTGCACGTCCTGCAGGAGCCCGTCTTCCTACCTCTCCATTCAAGACTCCCACAGTCAACTCACTTTCTCATTTCTGGCCTGGGATTGCCTTAGGATTGTGTAAGGGATCCTCAGGGTTCCCTTGCCCAACCCCAGTCCCCCTCTCCCACAGCTGCTGGCCGAGGTGTGCAATTCCCCATGAATAGGAGCACAGGAACACCTGGGCGGCCACATCTCGGTAAGTGTCTAGGCCCACCAGACCAGGGCTAGAGGGACATTGTGGAGCCAGTACAGACCTGACTGCTGGTGTGATGTGGCCACAGCAGGGCCAGCCCAGAGCTCTGTGTAGCAGGTCCCAACGAGAGCCCAGCAGCCCCTGGGACTGGAGTCAGTCGGCATGAGTGGGCGCGTGTGTTGACACCATTGGTGCAGGGCATTCTGGGTTGCAGTTAGTGGTGCTCTCATGGGTGCACATTCCCAGTCACACTTTACACAGACTGGCTTCCACTTTTGCCTCACTCCAAATCCACCCAGCCCCTAGCGACCTCATCCCACAGTGACCCCAGCCTCCAGTGGCCTCAGCTTACAGGACAAGCTGGTTCTCTGGAGAATGGAGGTCACTCTGAGGTCTCGACTGCCCCACCCCAGTGGCTCTTCTTGGGTATAATCTCCAAGGAGACTGGTCCAAGCATACACATCAAACAAAAGTGCCCACCACACACCTGGGCCCAGGGTCATTACAGTGGTCCTCAGGGAGGACATAGGACCCAACTCCTGATCCTGAGATGCAGGTATGACCACACGGAAGAAGCATGGCACCTGGACAGAGGCGTGACTGCAGTCAGGGAGCAGAACCCAGCTCCAGAGTGAGGCTGCTTCTACTGAGATGACTGGGTCCGTGTGGGTATCGTGTCATCTCAGACCTTCCTCCTCTAGCAAAGACATGCTGGACCTGGAACCTGGGCCTAGGACTCTGTTCTGAGTGGGCTCAGCCCTTCCCCACTGGTCTCAGGTCTGTCCTTTGCCTTGTCAGGAAGTGGATCCTGGCTCCAGGTTGATCTCAGGCCCAGTGCTGGCCTGGCCTGCAAGGCTAGCTGTCATACGGAGCTGTGAGGTTTCAGGGTAGGGTCCCATAGATGGGTCCCTGGGCCCCTGTAGCTCAGTGTTGGGGCTCACGGGGCAAGGCTGGAGAGTCTGGCAAACATGCCCATATCTCAGGGTCAGAAGGCCACCCTGCCCTAGCCATCTAGAGCACATCCCCTCCCCCTAACTAATGGTCACTGATTACTGTCCACAGCCCTTGACCCTCAGCCCACCAGCATGTTCTGGCCCTGAGTAGGTAAATGGGCAGATGATAGCAAACGTGTCGAGAGCTGAGGGTATAGCCACAGCCCCAGTTGCCAGAGGCCATGGCCAGACTGGGGAAGCCCAGCCCTGGTGCTTTTGGGAAGTGAACTAGGAGAAACCTTTCCTGGGAGCCGGGGCCAGCACCCTTAACCATCTCCACAATCATGTTGTGTAAGGAACGTGAGGCCAAGAGAGGCGACGCAACTTCCCCAGACCCCATGGTCAGTGGGATGAGCCCACAGGGTGACCCAAGCCAAATGCAGGGCTCTCAACCCTGCCCGGCAGGCCCCTGAGGGTTCAAGTGTGTCCAATGAGTCTGCTGTTCAGGGCGAGGGGCCTGGGGTTAGCAGGCAGTCCTGGGCCACCTGTCTCTCGAGACCTGCCCAGCCCCTGGTTTGCTTACAGGGGGCCCTCACGTGGCAGCCTCCCTCTTCCTGGGGACGTTCTTCATCAGCTCAGGCCTCATCCTCTCCGTGGCTGGGTTCTTCTACCTCAAGCGCTCCAGTAAGCTCCCCAGGGTCTTCTACAGAAGAAACAAAGGTATTGCCCTCCTGTGGCTGCAGCTGGTCCCTGCCTAGCCAGGAAGGGTCATGGCTAGCACATGCCTCCACATGGGGACACCGGTCCAGAGCTGGTGCAGAGACCCCCCCAGAAAGGGAGCCTCCATCCGGGGTGACCAAGCCCAAAGCCAGACAGAAGGAACTGGGTGGGTCAGTGCTTCTCGTGTCTGAGGAGTGGTCATTTCCTGGAAACACCCCATGGACTTGGAAGGTTTGTAGAGGGTATTGAGGCTACTCTCAGCTTCAGACAGCCCCTCTGTAGGTTGGGGCCTGCCCTCAGAGTCCTGGTAGCAGCTGTGTGAAGGACTCGGGTGGAGTGGGGCCCAGGAGATGCTCGGCAGCTTTTGCAGCTGGTTTTATCCTCTTCTCCCAGGGTCTTGGGCAGCCAGCTTATCCTACCTACGTACTGGGCCTGGACATGGGCCCTACCTCCCACCTAGAAAGATAGGTATCCCCACTGCTACACCCTACTTTTAGTGTGGGAGAGTTCCCACACAGGTTTGCCCTCTGTCCACTCGGTGTACCCAGCCCCGCCCCAGCCAATGGGTTCCTGCCAGGCACATGGTCTGGCCAGCAGATTGGGGCCCTCGGTGGACAGATAAATCAAAGCTGGTTGTGTGGCTGGTTGGCGAGAACCCATCAGAGGCTGGGCCAGGGCCCCACCAGCCTCCAGCCTCCAGGCCAGGCCCCACCTGGCCTTCGTGAGGCCTCTGTCTGCCTAGCCTCAGCCAGTGACAATTGGGTGCCTTCAGGGTACCTCACTTCTTGGGGCCTTGTTCGGGGTGGGGAGCTGGCCTCCAGTCAGTATGGTTGCTTCGGGGTCAGCTGTAAGGAGCTGCTGCACAGCTGGACGCAGGGAGTTCAGCTGGTCTGTGGTTAGGTCCCTGCTCCCGCTTTGCCTGCCTGCTTACTATCCTGCCTCCCTAGCGCCCCAGGAACAGGACAGGATGCTTGGCTTGGTCAGCTCAGGTGCCCATGGACAGGGGGAGGCTGGGTGGGCTATGGCACACCTGCACCTCTCAGTGCTGATTCCTGTTGGCCCTAGGGATCACCAGGGCTAGTGGTCACCTCCTGCCAGGGGCTCCTTGCGGGAGACTGGGCAGGATGGGGTAGGTCTTTCTCTCTGGCACTCACTTTCCTGGAGCCCAGAGCAGCACACTTTCTAAAGATTTAGCTAACCTGCACTGCTGGGGAGGCAAGAAGGGGGTTGGTAAGGGGACACTGGCGCTGGGGTGCTTAGGAGGACCTGCCACCCAAGGGTACAGCAGAAGGCCAGGCTTAGGGTGCTGCTGGGCAGTGTGTGGAGGTGGGACCTCCCTGAGCCTGGGCAGAGCCTCTGCCAGCCCCCGAACCTCTACCCAGGGCTGAGGCAGTTGCTCAGCTTCCGGGTTAACGTGCTGTTTCTTCCCCACAGCCCCAGCCCTGCAGCCTGGGGAAGCCGTAAGTAACCCGCACCCTCGGGGGCTGGTGTCCTTGTACCATGTGCGCCTGCACCGGGCAGCCTGAGTTCTCACTGTGCCTCTTCTCCTTCTCAAGGCAGCGATGATTCCACCGCCACAGTCCTCAGGTACTAGCAGCTGTTATGTCACCCTGCGGGGTTCCTCTGGACCCAGGGTGCTCTATAGGCTAGGATCTTGGCCACCCTCCTGGGGTCCTGAGAACCGTTTCATGAGGCAGAGATAAGAGTTGGGGCAGGCAGGTCCCACCCTCCACCTGCCTCTCTTTTTCAAATGGGTCTCTCCCTTTTATTCCTGAGATGTTTGTTGTCTGTGAGAGAGGAGAATCCAGGCCAGCCCCTGCCCCCATGGTCCCTCCAGTCGTTTCCCAAGCCCCAGCTCCACCTGAGAGGTGCAGGGGACCAAGGTGTGGCCTGTCCTGCCTGGCATCTCCTGAGCAGCTGGCTTTGCTAAGCCCAGCAGTTCCAGTGTAGGCGCAGTTATGACCTGTTTCTAGACAAGGTCTTGAGCACAGGGAGGTTAAGTGACCAGAGTCACACAGGTATAAGGTCTGGAGCAATTCACTCAGACTCCCTCCCCATTGTCGTCCTCCACTGTGCACTGGTCTGGTGGGAGCAGGTGACAATTCCTCTTTGGAGACAAAGCACTTCACTGATCAAGGCTAGACCTGCCTATTCTGTAAAGCGCTTGTCCGATTTCTCTACAGCAGCCTTGTCTACAGGTATCTTGACTAACTTAAGATGCCTGGGAGTGTTCTGGGGCTGCTGGGACAACGCACCACAAGTGGGCAGCATGAGAAACAGACGTGTATTCTTTGACAGCCTTGGAGGCCAGAAGTTAGAAATCAAGTTGGAGGGGATGAGGCACGCTCCCTCCAGAGGCTCCAGGGGAGGATCCTTCCTGCCTCTCGCAGCTCCTGGTGGCTCCAGGCTTCCCTGGGCTTTGGG